CTGACTCATTTGTCGAGCTTACCGAGAAAAACAATTTTTTTTCTTTTTTACTTCTGTCAGCAGCACTGCAGAGCTGGGGCTGGGCGAGGGCTGGAGCTGGCCCTGGCCAGGCTTTGTGCCCATAATGAGCTGCACTAATTAAGAGAGAGAAGAACAGTCTGGTTGTGAGGGAGGGCAGAGGACATCTCCATGACAGACAGTGCCAAGCTCATGGCACCAGGGGTGGCACCTGGAGGGTGCTGCTGTCTGTGCCTGGGCTCAGGAGGATGCTGCCAGGTTAGCACTCCTTCAAACGAGGTTTTGGTTCTGGATTGGAGGGACAGTGGTTTCTTTGCAGTTAAATATTTGTTTTTAAGGAGCTGAGAACTGCGTTTCACCTTTCCACTGACACCCAGCTACGCAGAGGACAGGGCTGGCTCACAAATTACATTGCTTCACGTGTCAAAGAAATTACTCCAATGCAGAAAAACCAGGCAGAAACATTTTCTTCTGCTGCTGAAAACAGAATTACAACTCTGTGATGGGTTTTGGTGAGCTACAGCATTATCAGGGCAGGTATAACACCCCACAATCATTTTTGTTTCATGTGACTGAGTTGTTTTTTGCAGCTCTTCTCCTGAAGGAGATCAGGAAGGGTTCCTGAGCCCAGATATTGTTGCTGGATGTTGTTATTAAAGCTCAATTCTTCCTTTATAAAAATTTCTGGGAGCGTTTCTCTCACTCACGTTCTCTGGCTCTGGGGACCTGAGAAAAGCCATTATCAGGCTCATATCTGAAATGATGGTTTGCCTAAAGCTGCTGTGAAATAGGGGCGATGACAAAGAATGTCAGACCAAGGCTGGGCTGTCGAGTGTTATCAGAACTTCTTAGAGTGCAAAAAATGCCTTGAAAGGCACTATTGAAACTGCCTTATCACCCTGAGACACTTTACTGGAAACCTGATGTTAACGTGATCTGGGACCAGCCCTCGAGATCGGGGAGCCTTCGGATCAGAACAGCTCGATGACAATTTCTTTAAGGGGTGTTTTTTGGATGAACTGAATTCTTTGGAACGAATTATTAACGGAGCTGGGTGAGGGCAGGCTCAGGGCTGCGGTAACTCCCAGTAACACCAGTGGGGTGCACAGGGGATGGAGCAGGGCTGAGTTTCCCAACCAGCCGGGGCTGAGTCAGTGTCTCGTCCCCTTCCAGTGCCTGCTCCCTGTCACGCTCCCGGGCTCTCCAGGACGGTGTCCTGGGTTAGTCCTGGTTTAGTCCTGGGTTAGTCCGGGGTTAGTCCTGGGTTAGTCCTGGGTTAGTCCTGGGTTAGTCCTGGGTTAGTCACAGCCCCAAGCCCCATGCCTGGTGTTTTCTGCCCCCCCGGAGATGTTTTGTCGCTGAGCATCATCCCCGGCGGCGCTGCGGGGACACAGCGCGCTCCGAGCGGCTCCATCCTCCCAGCGGCATTTCCCAGCTGCTCTGGGGATGTTCCCTCTCATCCCTTCCGTGCCTGTGTGCTCGCCACGGGCTTCGCATCAATGTTTTCTCAGCTAAGCGAATGGCACTCAGGGCTGAGTTTTAATTCCTGAGCTGGCTCACAAACCCTCCCTGCTGCCTTTGCTCGTGGTTTGGGCCGTCACTACCCTCAGAGCGCCCTGTCACAACGAGCCTGCCATAAAATCCCGAGGGAGGAGCCCTTTCCCGTTAGCTGGAAGTGCTGCTGGGGAGAGGAGCTTTCCCTGCCCCATTCCCGGCGCTGCAGTGCCCCAAAGGTTTAACTCTGCCCGGAGCACCTGCGGGAATCTCTTCCCATTTCACTGAGCTCATCTGCAGCGTCACAGTGCTGGCTTCCAGAAATCCCTGCTCCTTCTTTCCCTCTTCCTTCCCAGAGTGAAAGGGGGATGATTTTCTGTTTTATTGAGGGTGTTTTCATGCTGCTGGAGCTGGCGGGTTGGTGACAGCCTGGGGAAAGCCACGCTGGGGTGATTTGCTTCCATCTGGGTTTGTTCCAACAGGTGCTGATGGCTTTAAACTGCCAGAGGGCAGGGACAGATGGGATTTTGGAAAGAAATCCTTCCCTGGGAGGGTGGTGAGGCCCTGGCACAGGTGCCCAGAGAAGCTGTGGCTGTCCCTGCATCCCTGGAAGTGCCCGAGGCTGAGTTGGACTGGGCTTGGAGCAGCCTGGGAAGGTGGAAGGTGTCTCTGCCATGTGAGGTCCATCCCAACCCAAACCATTCTGGGAATGGAATTCTGCTGGTTCCACCCTGCTCTGAAATGAGGGGCTTTTGGCCACCCCCCACGTCCAGCACTTGGGGTCCTCCATCACCACCATTTCACAGACAGTAAAACCCCAACATGAAAATCTCCCCAGGCTATCCCCCACCCCAATGGGGTTTTCCTCCTCCTTGCCCCTGTGCTGGGGGTCCTGCTGTTTCTTTTGCTTTGCAGAAGGTCAGTGACAGGACAGAGAGGTTGAGGGACACATGCAGAGATCTGTCCAAGGCCCTGGGCCCCGATAATCCAACATTTCCCTCCTGTTCCTGTATCATCCCAGCATGTCTCCTCCACCTCTCCCACAGCCACATCTCTTCCTTGCCTTCTGGCACTTGGCTGACCCATCCTGGGCGTCAGTTCAGTTACCAAAAGGAAAAGAAAACAGAAAGAAAGAAATCCTTTCATGTCATCTAACATTTACATAATGAAGTAAGAACTCACTGCCTCTTCCCTTGTTTCCTCACCTGGGCTGGGTGTGCACTAGGCTCCCAGGAATGCTGCTACTTCCTCTGCTTCCAGTGAAATTTCTGCTGCAATTCTAGGCAGCAGCTGGGATTTGGGGGAGGGAGGTGGGGATTAACAGCCCTGTTCTGTCCCAGATCCCTCCAACACCTCAGCCAGGGCAAATCCAACCGTCTGCAGCCTGGGCTCTGCCCTCTGGCTGATTTCCAGCGGGCTGAGGCACAGTGGGCAGTTCCAGTAACCCTGTGTGCAACACCCTGACTAGCCTGGGCAGAAAATCCATTTGCCTAGTCCTTCCCTGGTGACAGATCTCCGCTCAAGACTGAGCTTGGTTATCTATAAATTCATTAGTCACCCAGCAGATCCGTGCAGGACAGCCCTGGCCCACAGGCACAAGGCAACCTGCATTGCAACAGGGGCACGCTGGGGCTGCTGCTCCCGGCAGGAACCCGCTCCAGAGGCAGCCTCTGGCATTAGAGGGGTGACTTCGCCACCCCAGTGCCCTCTAAGTCCAGCTGTCCATCCCTTCTGGTCACAGAAACTCCAGGGAGTTTATTTAGCTGTACATTTTTGTTTGTAGACTGAATGAAGCTCTCTCCAAAAGGGATCCAGAAATATCCAAACCAACCTTGGAGCCAACAGCACAGAGATCAGGGGTTTGCAGCAGAGCTGCCACATCCCCACGTGCCCCAGATGACAGATCCTGGCTCCCTGGGGACAGCCCGGGGCTGAAATGCTGCGAGGAGAACGTGGCTGCTCCTTGGCTGCACCAGTTTTGCTCTGCAGGGAAAGCTTGTGGTGGGATGGTCACGGATGTCACTGGCCTGGGGGACTTGGGAAGGTGTCAGTGACATTTCTGTCCTTCTGCAGGGTGACAGATTCAGCTGTGAACAATCATCACCTGAATCACCTCTGAGCCTGGGAAGCAGGGTGGGAGCTGTGTCCTCCAAAGCCCCTGACCTTGCGTTCCTGTGCGTCTCCAACACCAGGAACACTGAATGGAGAAATGTCCTCCAGGGACACTGGATGGAGAAGTGTCCAGGAACACCGGATGGAGAAGTGTCCAGGGACACTGGATGGAGAAGTGTCCAGGAACACTGGATGGAGAAGTGCCCAGGAACTGAGGAGATTTGGAACAGCATTCCCTGAACCTGGCAGCAGGAATCCTTGCATCTGGGACCAGGATTCCCTGAAAGTGGCAGGGGAAGGCCCCTTGTGCCATGACAATGATGGAGAAAACCCTGGACTTGAGTTTCACCACTCCTACCGGCTCCATTGCCAGATGTTCTGGGGAGCTGGGACCCCCGTGGGGTGATGCCACTGAGATTCCCACATCCCAACACCTCTGTGAGGAGCTGGGAACGGCCCCTCTCCAGGAGGGGATTGCCAGCATTGCTCCATGTTGGGTGTTTTGGGGATGTGATCCCCAGGATGCTCCCTGCTTTGGGTCACATCCCTTTTCCCAAAAGGAAAGCCACGCAGTGACGCCAAGAGTTCCCGCCTCCGTAGGTGAGGGAACACCCGTGGGAGAGAGAGCTGGTCCCTTGCACGAGCTCATTAATTCAGCAAATTACAAAGGGAAATAAGTGCTGGGAAAAGCAAGAAAAATCCCAAAAGTTAATCCAAGAGTTATTTCCTCCTGGTACCGGGATAAAAACGCGTCCTTCGGAGCTCTCCAGGTCAGACGTCGGTGAGAGAGGTGAAGGTAAAACACTGAATTTATCCCTTTGCTCTATGTCCTTTTGGGTATTTCCTTGTACACCTATCTCTGAAATACATTTTTTTATTAATATCCTTAATTTTCAGTGCTAACAAAACTTGTGTTTGACTTATGCTATTCCAGAGGGAACCTGTTTTCTTCTGGGATAAGACTTTGAAATCTGTTACTTTCAGTCAGTTACCTCCTGTTCCTTCTGTGTCATAAGACTTAAAAAATTAATTTCACTGTATTTATTTTTCTGATAACATTTTTTCAGAAGAACTCTGTTTATTTAGATGCAATTTAAACTAATATTTTATTTATTTTTCCTTTTCCTTTTGAGCTCTTCTGTTAAATATTTGATTTTATTTGATTTTTTTCTCCCTTGCTCATGGGGAGCAAAAAAGAAATGCATGAGAGATACTAATGAGCATGGGGTTTTTAGTGCATATGTACAAATTTTATATAAAATTTATTTTATATAAATTTATATAAAATCCATATTTTCATATGGATCACAGTTGTGTTATTCAGGAAAATAAAGAGGAGTATTCTCTTCCTTGGGCAGGTCTCCCAGGCAGCTGCCATGAGAGGATCCCCCTTGTTCCTCTGCCTCTTCTCCGTGTCCTGCTGGGTGAATTTGATGCCGACAGCTGGGGACAAAATCTTCCACTTTGGAGCCTGCAGGGTTTCCATGAGCATGACAGAGATCAGGGCTGGCTTCACAGCAATTAAAGCCAATATTGTGAGTATTTCCCAGGCTCCTAGTGGGCTGGGGGAGCCCCTGGAAGCTCCTGGAGCCCCTCTGGAGCCAGCAGCTCCAGAGCTGCCCATCTCCGTCCTCTCCGCAGCAATCCAGAGACCCCATCCGGACCCTGAGCATCCTGTCCCACCCTCACTCCCTGCACAAGGTCAAGGTAGGTAGCCCTGGCTGGGGAGCCCTTACAGCATCCAAAAGCAGGTGACTGTGACCTTGGGAAATGCAATCTGTCATAAATCAGGAATTTTCAGCTTTCTCATACCCCTAAACACTGGGCACAGTCCAGGTCTCAGCCTCTGATACCCAGCTGCAAAATCAGCTGATTTCCTTTTGTGAGACTTGCTGAGGATGGATCTCCTGGAAAATCAGCCTAAAATGATTTCCCATCTATTTTATCAGCTTCAATCAAGCACCACTGAAGAAGCTTGCTCTGAATCAAACTGTCCTGCTGTGCTCAGCTACCACGAGCTTCCTGTCAGAGATGCTTTATCCCAGAGAGTGACTGCAGGTTACAGCCCTTTGGAACAACTTTTAGTCACTAAATTCATTTTCTAAGTCTTCAGACAGATGCTGCATCACTCACCAGCTCTTCACCTTCTATGTGGACAAAGTTTTCAAGCACTGCAGGACAGAGGATTCGTTTGTGAACAGGAAAATCAGCAGCATCGCCAACTCCTTCCTCAGTGTGAGGAGGAAGCTCGGGCAGTGTGTAAGTCCTGGGTTCTGCTCCAGCCTGGCTGCATCTGTCAATATTTCACCTATAAACCAACCTGGGAGATTTAGAAAGCTGCAAAATATAAATATATAATTATAAAATATAAAATTAAAAAATATAAAGCTGGATTGTATAAATGGTTTTATTGAGAATACAAAGCAGAGTCAAGAGTGTTCTGTCCACTGAGAGATTTTTATATTTTCTCAACAGCAAACTCCTCCTTTGGTCCTAAAGCTCAATATTTATCCTGTCCTTGTGTCTGTTACATCAGCTGTTGTGAGCTAAAGCCTGGTTTTGGGTCCTGCAGCCTTTCCCACAGTTCCACAGTGTCTCAGTATATGATGCCCAGCAAAATCAGAAACTGAAATCTTATTTTTAAAAATTAACTGCCCAGATTAATGAATTAATCCTGTTTCTGCAGCGTGAAAAGAATAACTGTGTGTGTGGGGAGGAATCCACGGAGAAATTCAAGCAAATACTTGCAAACTATGAAGAGGTGAGTTGGTGACTGAGCCTGGTAATTAACACAGGTCTTTAAATTCTCTTTATGTTGGGTTGTACTGATGGTCTGTGGTTACAGCTCATTCCTTTGTATCATTTCAGCTGAATGTCACATCTGCAGCCATGAAATCCCTGGGGGAGCTGGACATCCTCTTGGACTGGATGGAGAAATCTCATTAGTGGGTGGCGTTAATTACCCACGGCTGGCTGGGGCTGAGGAGCTGCAGGGGCTTTGCAGAGAAGAGAGGGACAATAAATCACTGCATCAGTGCAGTTCCTCAGCAGTTCCAGCTGCATTCAGGCAAACCTGGAGTGCTTTCCCAGCCAGGGACATCAGCAGAGCCTTCATTAAGACAGAAATAACGAGTTTGATTAAATCAACATCGCTGCTACCAAAGGATGCTCCCAGGGAAAACCCACAAGGGTTTCTCTTGCTGGCAGACATTAAGCTGTGATCATGTCATAAAGTTATTATTTAAATTACAGATTGTTTTGTCTGGGGAATGTGGGGAATGAGTGCTGAGAGCTGGCTGGGAGGACTCTGGTGCAGCTGATGTTGCATAAACCTGGGCTCGGTCTCAGGGCTGCTGCCACTGATGGATCTGGCTGAAATGAGGAGTACAGTGTGAGAAATTCTTCCAAGAACAGGTCCTAGCAGGTATGTCAGGCCTCAGAAATCCGTATTTCCTTTTGAGATGATATTTTCTGCCCTATCAGTAAAAAAGTTTCTGTGCAAGATATGTGGTTGCTGAACAGAAAAAGGTTCTTGAGCATATTGTGCAATTTACTGACACTCAGTAGTGAGTTTTGTGGAAATTGGGTGTGATGACTGTAAATAAACCCCACTTGAAACTGTGCTGAGTCTGTTGGTCAAAATTCTGGGGAATTATATGATTCTTGCTGGTGAAACTTCCTGAATTCTCTGTGGTGTCCTTTTACAGCAGATGCTGTCAGTCCAGCATGCCAGGGCTGATGCATCCTTCTGGGCATGCCAGAAACACCAAACCCAGACCTCAGTGCTGCTAAATTCCCCCAGTTTGTCCCCAAAACTGTGCATTACTTATAGCTCTGGGCTGTTCTCTCCCATTTTGGATGTTGCTGGTACCCACTGCGTGCTCTAAATCCCAGCTGGGGCACAGCACCAGCATTTCCCTGGGGCACAAATGTCACGCTGGGTGGCATTTGGTGATTCACTTTCAAAGCGAAGATCTCTCTTTGCTCACTGTCCTCCCTCAGATATTGACTTGTGCCAAAAGAAAGCTTCTCTGGGTTTTGATTCTGTTAATTCACTTTCTCAGGGGTTTCATTTGTCCAGGGCACGAACAGGTGAACACATCTCCCCGTGCTCCGGCAGTGCTCAGGAGAGCTGATTTTTCAGCTCCATCACTCTTTTAGGAATGAGAGGCATCTGGGACATTCCACGATTCTCAGTCGAAGAACAACCCCTGGGGATGATGCTGGGATGCAGCGAAGTGCCACAGGCTCGTCCCAGACCGCAGGAAATCAGCTGGCACCAGCTGAAGGAGCAGGGACTGCTTGGTGAGTCCCTCATGGATCCTTGTGGGCTCTGGATCACAGCTTGAGGCTTTTATTCCACACTTTCAGCTTATGTCACAATCACTCCAGTTCATCCTGTGCATCGATCACACCCTGTGTGCTGCAGCCCCCAGTCCATGCCTGCCTCAGTGCTTCCACCTAACCCAGGGATTTTACACTTCTCTGCCCACTGCAGGGCACGGCAGCTGCCCAGGGCCGCTCCCCTGTGGGAAGGAGATGCCAGCTGGAAGTGTCAGCAGTGCGGAGGAGCGGGGGATGCAGGAGGGCTGCAGGAGGGCTGCAGGAGGGGCTGCAGGAGAGGCTGCAGGAGAGGCTGCAGGAGGGATGCAGGAGGGATACAGGAGGGATACAGGAGGGGCTGCAGGAGGGATGCAGGAGGGATGCCGGAGGGATGCAGGAGGGGCGGGAGGGGGGGGGG